AGTGGCGCGCCTGCTATCACTATACCTGACCACAGTCACCGTCTCTGCTCTTTAGTAAATGGTGGACATCTTGGCTTGCGATGGTCGAACTAACACACACGCATTGACGTGCTTTTTTTATCATCAAAATAACCACGCTGCGAAACTTCCGTAACTCGCTTAAGGGAATCTTTCCTGCTGTACATTATGGCGAGTGTTGCAAGCAAAATGCCACAATTTGCGAAACACTGCTAATCACTCGCAAATCAACATTAAGTAGGGTTGCAAAACTGATTACCATGCAGTCTAATTTTAAGTCTTTTCTGTCACGCCAGGAAGCCTGGCTCTGTAATGAGCTTCTTGCTGACCGCTTACAAAAAATAGATTCTGCAAAAAGTGGCTATTTAATTAGTATGCATTTTTATCATCGATTTTGACTACCTTTATAAATTCAAATACATTTTATGGAAAACATAAACGTACCTGCAAAAATGATTATCATGCAGGATGCAGGCTTTTAGCTAGCTTCTTTTTGACCGCATATAATTTTTAGATTCTGAAAAAAATGGCTTCTTAAATAGTATGCATTTTTAAAATCGATTTTGACTGCATGTATTCAGTAAACTATATTTTATAGAAAAGATGCACTAAAATGGTCTTTCTTGTACTCGTTTGGTAGCAAATTGTGCCTTGTTTAAATTTTATGCTTAAAGAAATGGTATCTTTTATTTTTAAAAAGTGTCTAAATGGCCGAATAATTTTGAAATTTACTGACTGCTTCACCCGAATTCAAGGTTTCCAGACAACATGCTGTGTATATTCTGTTTAAGGAAATAAACGTTTTTAACCATAGTTTAAGGAAGAGGTCGCATAGTTCTCCAATCATTTTGCAATAAATGTGGATCATGCTGTATACATTATAGGCAGCATTTATAAATTGACAGATTCCGTGTATTAGGAATAAACACTTCATTGTCGTAAAAAAATCTAAAATCTAAAATTTTTGTAAAACTGAAAGAAAGTAAATAAGGAAGGCGCTATGTCCTACAAAACGAGTATAAAAAATAATTTTTCGGGACGAAGAAGAAGGCGACTCGATCGCTGGGACAATTTTTTTTATTCGCCTGACGTTTCGAGATCCGTCGTGATTTGTCATCAGAGATATAGTCATAGAATAATAACATATAGGTTTATGTTTTCCATAGAATATATTTGAATTTATAAAAGCAGTCAAAATCAATGATAAAAATGCCTACTAATTAAATAGCCATTTTTTCAGAATCTATTTTTCATACGCGGTCAGAAAGAAGCTCAGTACAGAGTCAGGCTTCCTGGCGTGACTGAAAAGACCTGCAAGTAGACTGCATGATAATCAGTTTTGCAACCCTACTTAATGTTGATTTGCGAGTGATTACCAGTGTTTCGCAAATTGCTGCATTTTGCTTGCAGCACTCACCATACTGTACAATTCACGAGGAGAGAAGGGCAGGAGCAGCAACTGCCTTTCCCTGGTGTCCTCGTCAAGAGAACAACAAACGGTGAAATTAAGACGGATGTTTACAAGAGGGCAACCGACACAATATAACTTCGCAGTTTTCATAGCAACCACCCGGTTGCTCACAAACGAAGCTATGAAAAAACGTTCAGCTTCAGACTCACTGCAGAAGCCGGGAGAAAAGGTGCGCAAGGCCCGATATCTTCGCGACTAATTTATGCAGAGTGGATGTCCGAAAGCGTTTATAAACTGATGCCTACGCGTTCGGCCCCGTAGAACCCAAACAGAAGAATTACTGAGGATATTGCGCGCTCTGCCATCCAGCATGGAGGTTTCAGAAGCGACTGGTCGCATCGCTGTGGGACTAGGTGTCGGAATTGCCCACCGACCCAAAGCCACCATATGCAGCAGGGTAATGAAACTCAAAGAGCGGGTTAATCTCAATGGAAAATCTGGGGTAGTGTACCAAACCCCACGCATAAGCTATCCTTGTGATTACACAGGCCAAACTGAAGGCATGCTCGGATCGCGCATATATGAATATAAGCCAGCTGTACGACGAGGCGACAAATTATAGCAAGTTGCAGCTCACACTTATGAAACAGGCTATGAGTTCAGCTTCGCAGCCGTCAATGTACTCACCCGCAAGACGAGCCAAGAGTTGATTGAATCCTAGGCCACAGACGGGAACTCAATCAATCGATGTATCGAATTGGCGCCGGCGTACAGAGCCCTGCGCAGTCACGTCCGGACGTCCGTTACTGACAGCTAATTGGCGCACACTATAACTGCCCTCCGTTTTCGTTGCTGGCGGCCTGAGGACACTTGACATCACTGACAATTAATGAACGTATACTCCCATAATTGCTTCCCCTTCCTTTTTGATTGCTGTTTCTTACCTCTGACAATTTGCTGGCGTATACCTATTGCAAGAGGTTAAGTTAATAGGTTAAAACCCTAGAAGCAGCGAGCTTCAGGCTCAGTTCCTTATGGCAAGAGAAATAATTAGGCACCAAGTGGTAGGAACATTTTTTTCTGCGCAGACGAAGTGGAGAATAGGTAGGAGGAAATTGACGGTCGGAGGAGCGCGCAACCAAAGGCAAATGGCCGCATCGGATGTGAAGTGAACGCGCGGGGGATTCCAGAAAGTCCAGGACATGGTCACAGTCATTGGCGTCAAGTTTGCTAGACCAAAGGCCCAGACGCGAGGCATCGACCCGACCGAGAGGCAGGAAAGAGGACAATACAGGTGACTCCTGCAGTGAGTCGGCAAGAGCGTGTGACGGACAGTCACGCATGCGGATATTTGGTGCGACTGCAAACCTTGGCCGATCACGGATTGCCATATTGGCGCTAGCGGGCCACTACAAATCCACTATAATTATTCCCCGGTTTGTTGCTGTTTTTTTATCTCTGAAGATGGAATTCTGTTAGAGTTCGAAAACTCGGGACAGTAAGCAAATTGCTCCAGTGCTTGACAATCCTTCTTCCCTATCCAACTAATAAACCTGTCTTAACTATCTCATGTAACTTTGCATAAGTGGTTTACTCTTACAACGTCATTAAATTTGCTTGATTCCCCATTTTTACCTCATCGACTTTTAAATCTGGGAAACACTGTTTCATGTATTTTTTGTGTGCCGGCGACTACAGATTCAAGAACATAGGCATCTTGCGCAGATATCTGACAGATCATAAATCGAATTTCAGTTTTGAACTATTCAGGTAAGGCCATGGTAGACATTCGTATACACTAGAGGTTTATGATGCAACGGAAAAATAATAACACAGAGGATCGGTCACATTTATACAGTCCCCAAATTTTTATCTAATTTTCTCAACTTCCGTCAACGAGATGTCATTGACAAGTGGCCAGAAAGGACCTGTAGCTGGTGCTAAACCCAATAGGGAGACCCCAAGCATCACGACTGTCAGGCTCGATCCCGAACAGGAAAAGGAGTTGTGGGGCACCAGTTAGGAGGATGTTGTGTTCTGTATAGAACCACTGTTAGGAGAAA